CCCCAAAACCCCAAAACCCCAAAACCCCTCAAAGCGAGGTCTATTTAAACTGATCAAAATGCAAATTGTAATTAAATTTCTGAAAAATAAAAATAGATGAATTCTGCAGGATCTCATGCGTATGTTTCCAAGAACTTTATGCAAGCATACACTGACAAAAAACAAAAAATGCAATCTAAGATGGCTTAAAAGAAAGAAGCAATGCCTTAGCTGCGTTCCCAACAGTATGTTGAAGATGGATTAATTAAAAACTCTTCCCCAGTAAGACGAAGATCTAGATCAAAATCAAGATCCAGGTCAAATTCAAGTCAGGGATCAAACAAAAGTGGACACAGAAATAGATCTATTGAGATGGTGCATTCTGACGACCTTGAGGGAGCCTTGAACTTAAGTGATTGTGACGACAATGCTTAGGAATCAAGATCAAAGCAAGCTAGATAGAGAAAGAGACCAGCTAGAATCTTCAAATAAGAAGTCGATACCAATGTCTTTAACATATCTATGCAAACTCTGAAAAAGGATTCAGAACTGGCAACTGGTGATCCAGTATTTTGCAAGCAATGCAACGCCTGCTTCAACTTCTACTCTTAGGTCACTCAATAAGCCAAGGAAATGATCAAAGTCTAGAACTATGAAGAGGAGGTCAAGGGTGACGAGGTTTATGAGTAGAGTGTTCCTCAAATTTGGATTTGTGAATTCTGCAATTTTGAGAATAAAGTCGACTTCGAAACTGAGGAACTTCCTAAGTCGAATCAAGTCACTTATATCTTAGAGGCAGCTGCCCAAGTTAAGGAAAAGAAAATAGTTGGTAACCAGGATATCACTGTAGTCTTCTGTATTGATATCAGTGGGTCTATGTGTGTGAGTCAGCCCATTGCTGGAAAGCATAGCATCAAGGGAGATAAAACTCAGGCATTAAGAAATCTAATGCAATTCAGCGATGGTTCTGACCAAAGGTTACAAGGAGAAGATAATGTGACATATATCTCAAGACTATAGTGTTTGCAAGCAGCTATTGAGTCTCAACTGATTGATATGGCCATCGGTGCCCCTGACAGAAAAGTTGGAATCGTTACCTTCAATTCAGAGGTAACAATCATTGGAGATGGGTCAAAGGCACCATAAATAATAGCTGGAGATAAGCTCTTCAGCTATGATTACTTGATTGAAAACGGTACAGCTGAGGGACAGAACAGACTTCAACATGCTATAAATAAGACCAAGGATCAATTAGTTAACTAGATCATGTCTGTTGAGGAAACTGGACCTACAGCTTTGGGGCCAGCTCTAGCTACTGCCATATCTATGGCTGCTTAAGGTAATCCAGGTTCAACAGTAGTACTCTGCACTGATGGCCTTGCCAATGTTGGACTAGGTGCTTTTGATGAGATTAAAACTGAAGAGGAATCTAAGAAGGTTGATTAATTCTATGAAAGCCTTGGTGAGTTCGCAAAGAATAAGGGAGTTACTGTAAGTATAGTAAGCATTGCCGGAGAGGAGTGCAACATCGACACTCTAAGCACGATAAGCGAGCATACAGGAGGAAGTGTAGAAAGAGTCGACCCTGTTCAACTGACTCAGAACTTCTCAAACATCTTGAAACTTCCAGTGATTGCTACAAATGTAATCACCAGAATAAAGCTTCATAAAGGTTTGGAATTCAGAAATGAAGATGTTAACAACCTCTCAGAGGATAAGACTCTTCTCGCCAGGGACATGGGAAATGTCACTGATGAGACTGAATTCACATTTGAGTACAGATTGAAGTCCATCAAGGACCTCATAAAGATGGACGATGTAGATCTGACTAAGATTCAAAGCTTCCCATTCCAAGCTCAGATTACTTACAACAGCCTTGATGGTAATAAGTGCATAAGAATCATTACTAATCAGAAATCCATCAGCAATGACAGAACAGATCTGGAGAAGAATGCCAACTATGAAATTCTTTCAACCAATGCTATCTAGAAAAGTTCTCAAATGGCTAAGAGAGGAAATATGAGAGAAGCATAGGCTTATGCAAAGGTCTGGAAGAGGAAAATGAAGAGCAACATATAGAATGTAGAGCAAGATATCTAGTATAATAATTTCAACAATCACTTCGGACAAGTTTATGAGATGATTAATGAGGAAAATGATCAGTCTGATTGCGAAGCTGAGGCTGAGGAGAGAAAGCAGGATGAGGAACATAAAGTTAGCTCAGCTTAGACTCAGCCAGCAAAGAAAGGCTTCTTCAAGAAACTTGGAGATAAGATTAGCACTGAACTATACAAGGCTTCCAAGACTAACAAAACCTCTCTCAATAAGTGAAGACATTTCTGAGAATATAAACTATTAGATATTTATTATTGATTATTAATTTCAAATTCAATAAAATGATTAATTTTCAAATTCTTGGGGTTTTGGGGTTTTGGGGTTTTGGGGTTTTGGGGTTTTGGGG